TTTGGCACCTCAGCTACCCTGAGAGATTGGAGCGCCTGAATTTGCCTAGCTTATACTACAGATGGGCAAGGGGTGACCTAATAGAGGTGTATAAGCATCTCAAAGGGCACTACTCATCCTTACTTGGAGCTGGCGGACGCTCGCCCCATAAGGGGTCACAGCTCAAGATTGAAGAAGCCGCAAGTCCAGAAAACTGTGAGGGCAAACTTTTTCGGAGTGAGAGTTGTGAACTCTTGGAACAATCTACCAGAAAGTGTTGTGACGGCACCGAGTGTGAGCTCTTTCAAGACAAGACTTGACCAACACTGGAGCGGGTTCAGGTACATTCAGGTGCTGGTGCATGCCCAGTACTTGCCAACAGTGCATAACAGAGACGTGACCGATCGCCCAAGCGGCTAACGAGCCGATCATTAGGTGAAGAGGATAAAAGGGTAAAAAGAGAAGACCTCCAGAGCAACTCCTCTACTATGCAGCAACTTCCCAGCACCTGGCTGCTCTGTGCATATAATATATATAAAGAAAGCGCCATTGTGAGTTTCCTTTCTCACCTCCATCCTTAGTGCGAGATCTATATGTACGTATGTATGTGAGCCTAACAAAGAGAAAATAAACAAACACAAAGAGAAATCAGACTGCTGGCCACATACACTACGCTACAGTGGCTCCACGAAATTGAAGAAAAGGCAAGTAGATATAGGGGTACACCTAGGCCTGTTGGTGGTTGGAAAAACCATGCGGGAGCTGGCATGTCTGTGCCAAGTCAGAACCAGCGAAATCTTAATTCAAGATGAAGAACATGTTGAAGTGAATAGTGATGTAAAAGATTGGAATTATTGTAGTGGATTCCTCCCCTACAAACGCTGTGTGTCGCTTATTAGCCGACCCCTGCGAATCTCCCAGCGTATCCTTTGTGGTCAAGGTCAGGTAACCAGCGACGCCGAACAAAGCGGGGGCCTACCATCAAGCCACGCCTACCCCCGCTATATAAGACCTCACCTGGCCGTCATCGACCTCTTTCTACTTACTGCCACCAGCAAGCAACATCTCTCAACAGCTCCACACCACACGCTCCCTCAGAAAGCTCCTCGCCCTACAGGAACTCTGAGCAAGCTTCGCCAGACCTAGTATCTCTTTAGCACTGTGCTGTTCAACAATAAATATACGGGAAACACATTGTGACTTTCTATTCTGCCTCAATCCTGAGTGTTGGATATATTACATGCACGTACGTTGTGAGGCCAAATAAGAGACCCTGACAACCTGCCACACAGTACGCTACAATTGGTGACCCCTGTAGCCGTGAACACCACACTCCTTTCTGCTGCCTTACTCCTGGAGCTGAGAAGATCGTCCTGCCTGCTGCCAGCCTAGGGCAACCGCCTTACCCACACCACGTGCTACCCCACTCCTCCATGACGACACCATGTGCTACCCCACTCCTCCATGACGACACCATGTGCTACCCCACTACGACACCATCTCACGACCGTG